GTTCTAGCGACAAGTGAGTCAAGGTAACGAGATTCGCATGGGTGCAGCGACTGGATTGACATTTACGTGGGTCAAACGCATGCCGGCCTCTGACTTCTCAACAAAAAGATCTAGCGTAGAGGTAACTTGAGCCTGAATTTCAACCCCGGGGATGATCTTTTATCAAGAGCTCACAGCCCTTTAAACCATGGGTTGCTAGGGCCTCTCGAGGCAGTTTAAGGTGCGGTTTAAACCCTAGATCCGCATTAGATTTCGTGTCATCGATTTCGTGTCATCTACCCAGCAAGTCTGAGTTAAGCAGACTGAGTATGGAATTTGACGCATTGGTCGACATCGCGCAAATCCATCGTATAACAAGGATACTGTAAATCGAGTTAATAAACAGAAGACAAGAACTGACACAAAGTTAATGTTTACAGCAAAAGTGAAAGACGCAACATAAGAATGACCTAAACAACTTACCAGATATAAGACCACTGGAGTTAGAACGCTAAAAACGACAAAAAATGAGAGTAAAATGTTAGTGTCATTCTGACAGTTGGGCCACATCTAGCTCTATCGGTACGCCCACACAAAGCGCACGTGATGACGCGCGTGGCTGCGCCCAAGTTCCGGACTCTAACACGCCAGCTGCATGAGTCACAAAGCCAATGAAGTCGCTCCCTTACTTGAGCCCACAATCTCATTGGTCCAATCTTGTACACGCGTTCGCTTGCCTTAAATACGCTGTGCTAGGTTTTCTTAAAGAGTTCTGCTTTGTCCACTTCTTGTCGTGATCTTCCTTGGGGGCTCACACAAGGCGTAACGTAGACGGCAATATCAAAGCTTCGGTCAAATTTACAACAAGTGGGACCTGAGCCGATGTGGTGGCACGTTGAAGGGTGTGTCCTAGCCGCGGCAGCCACCTGTGTCCCCTCCCACATCCAGTCTCTTTGACTTGGTCAGGACACCGAACCCATACACTACACTATCACTTAAAACTAATCCACACGCAATTCCCCGTGCCTGTGCACCAGATTGAGGGGCATGTGCTGACCAGTTAGACTTAGTTTCCTTTAACAATCTCAATACATTTTCGCGTCTGAAGTATTTTTGTTTTATTGAGGCGAACACACGCCAGTGTAACACTCCAGGAAACTGAGCGGGGTTGTTGGAACGTGGTGAACCTTTTCGCACGCGGATCTAAAAGGTGAAGATGGTGTAGCTCGTTTGTCGGTGAAAGCAGTCGATGGTCCTTCCATTCGACTGCCGACCCCCTTTCCGCAACTCAACTCTCCCGCACTATGTCAGCGCAATCTACACCCCTTCCCTGCAGTTGCACAAAACGCTGTATTCCCCACCGGTTGTATAGTAGACATGTCAGCATCGCCCTTCACCTAGACAGGTCATCCAAAGCTTTAACGTATTATATGGTACATATTTTCCATTACTATACATCTTATTTGTATTTATGCGCATTATATGATTATCATTCGCCCTTGCCTTATTTCATTTTACCGCATGGATGTGTGTTGATGGCTTAACAGCTCTATTCAGTTCTGCCTGAGCCCGGATTTATCCACGGCATCTGATGTTACTCGGTGTGTGTGCCAACCTCGACATCCTCGCCTCGTTACAGTAGCTTGCTTGCTCGAAGTCAGTTTGTTCAACCCTTTTTTTCAATACTATTCGTTTTCAACCTATTTGGATTTCTTTGCCAATATTTCTATATAAGGGTCGTGATATCTACTTCGTTAGTTCGTCTGGAAGTCATTTTTCCTTAGGCACTTAATCGGCCTCCTCGAAACTGTCGGAAGGCCGGTGACCCAACCGAATCAAGTATTTTGTAGTCACTACAAGATGTTACGAATTGGCGTTCACAATATGGTTTTCTCTGAAAATCAACTACGCCGTGAGACCCTGTTTCAAAATTCTCCAGGGAAATATGACCTTGAAGGTCGCTTGTCGTTTGCGGAATTTTGCGGCGAAATCACGGACACTGGGGGCGGAGAGTAAACATGTCTCGCTTAAGCGATGTGATGGGCGTTGCTTCGTCTTTTTCGGCAGCGGCATGAATTATCCTAGACAGAGAAAATAGAGTTATCACGTAAAGCCTGTCATTAGGCAGAGAAGATCCGACGGTGTGTAGGTGCCAACGTCCACAGTACTCAACTCCGGCCCGATGTAAGGGTTTTCGGCAAGTTAACCGCCAATAACAGGTGGCGTTTCGTCCAGCAGTTCCCACTGAGGGTATATTAAGGATTTTTGACGAATATTTTGTTCGTTCGTAGTTGTGCTTTGCGACAAAAATAACTGTGCCGAACCCATTTTTTGAAGGGAGCAGGTTCGAAGGCAGTCTTTCTAAAGACAACAATAGGCGCGAAGTATACGCACTTGCTCCCCCTCAAGTTCGAACTTGAACTAACTGAGAGGACGACGCAAATCCGCAAGATATGGAGCACGGCATCCACTTAAGCAGCCTATCAGTGAGTGTTTATAAAAGAAGGAATCGATAGCTGCGATTAATTAAAAATGGTCATCTGTGACCGAAAATATTCGCTCCGTAACAGGGTGGTTCAAGTGCAAATATCCGGCCAAGGTAACTTTGGTTAAAGGGAAATCCACTTTGAGTTCTCTGCGTAAGAGTGTGTCGCTGAAGACGCTTAGGCGGTTAAACAACTTCGTGAAAATGGTCACGATCATGTCCGCTAGACTGATAGCTCTGTCCCAAGTGGCTTCCAGTTATAACATTGTCGTAGTCATGCCGAATTTTTCGAACACTCAAGCTGGATTGCCAGATCCAGGATGCGTGCGTGTGTTAGCGCTGGTAGTCACCTCGACATCTAGTGGATTCGGCAGCCGTTCCAATTGCTAAGCCGTTCAGCCAAAAATAAGTCTGCAGAGGTCGCATAGCCGACAGATTTGACAACAGAAATACGTAGCAGGCTTTCTTGCTGCGCGAATAATTCCTCAGAAGTGAATGACTGCTGGTGAGGAGGAAAAGAACGGCAGTAGAGCCTCAGGTGACGAGCAGTCTCGACTACGAGAATTTCAGGCAATGAGCGAGCCATCAGCAGAAGTTTTGTTTCGATTGCGGAACTTCTGCTCGGTAAACGACCTATTAGTGCGTCTGTGTGTGTGCCCGTGTCCACCGATGAGTCTTGTTCCCAGGGCATGGGGGGCCTCGATCACCTGCAGCCAATCAGTTAACTGGTAGATTTTGATTGGCTGCGCTTCGCAAGACGGGCGTTTCACATAACGAACTCGGTGCCGGGACGGATTTAACTCTTTAACCGAGGTTCTACTATACGTCTATCGGCTGACAGCAGTCACGTGCTGTTTGGACTTGAATAGAAATGTGCGTCCCCACACACGCTAAAACCGTGACTGGAAATGCGGCCATAGCAGGTCCATAATATACGAAAACTAGGACTCTGAATAACTCCCGCTTTAGCCGTAAGACATCCCCTTACCGATCGGTTCTAAAAGCAGGAAGCTGATATGCACAGCAACTTCCCCTGCTGCTATCATGGCATTAGCATGCATAAATCCCTCAGCAGCAGCGGCAGTAGACCGAGGTGGTTAATGTCAGGCTTCTGGAAACTTCACGGGAAGCAATGGCTTTTGTAGCAGGTGTGCACACAGATCCACGGCAGTTGGAGACCAAGCATGTGACCTCAAACAATCAGCTGACTTGTCCTAGTGGCTGTAGTGGGAGTTTTGTCTGTCGAGTAGGGGAAAGAATGCAGGGCTGGTTTTTTTTCTAGAATGGCAGGCCTTATCGCTCACGTGGTAGACGCAAAAAGCTAGGAGTTAATGTGAAAAAGCGCAGACTATCACGTAAATGCAGGGAACTAGAGTGGCCGACCACGGTACCGTTGGCAGAACTATCCGCTTTGGATACAATTCTTCCCTATACAACATGTATTGCTGACCAGTAGTATAAAAGAGGTTTCTGAGAGGCCAGTTCTGTTCTCCGCAAGAAATTAAAAGAGGAAGGACAAAAACGTCCCAAACTGATCATCGAGCGGTTTATAGCAGGTTATTTATCGTCCCAAAGACATACTCGGTCATGTGATCTAATGACGTCATCGTCAAACAAGC